CTTCCTGACCAGAGATCCTGGTGGTCCTGTCCTCACAGAGATCGCCAGAGCTTCTTTGCTTTTCAGTCCAAATGAGACACTTTTCAGATCTTTTTTTTCCAAATAGCACCCAAGTACCTCTTATTCTTTGGAAAATCCAGTCTCCAAGACTCCAAGATAATTTCAAGCCCTGTTAGATATTTTCTGTAAAAGCATTCGCTGTTGCAGAGCTGCAGTTTCCGCTTCAGTGTTGAGGGGAAAAAAAAAAAAAATCCTGTGCCTGGCCAATTTGAGCATCACATCTCCATAGAAATCAAGGACAGGTGTCTCACATCAGATTGTCAGATTTTTCCCTCTGCACATAGTTTACAGTTTGGATGCACAGATGGAATCCACAATCAACGGCACATATACTGTACATCATCTCCAGCTATTTCTTTGCATCATTCTGCCGTTAATGCATATGCATGAAACAGAGATGCACTTTAATGACTTGATGCAAGGTGTGCATCAGATGACAGCCAAACTAGCTCCCTGGCTGGTGCTTCTGTTTGATAAATAAGACACCTCTCTGGGTGCAGGACTCATCTGAAAGAAGGAGAGGCAGGTTTAGTGTTCTTCCCTCTGTTGAGATATTTCCCTCTTTTCTCCCTCTGCTTCGTTTCTTCCTCTCTCATTTGGTGCTTTGCGTTGCTCCCTCTCTGCACACCACCCTCGCTCTCTTTTTCAATCCCCTCCATCACCTGGATCACCCCTACATATGAGATCTTTTCTGGCTTTTGTCTCTGTCAGACCGCCTTGTCTTTCTCCTTTTTCTTGCTGTGAACCAGGGGCCACCGCTGCAGTCAAGACAGTGGGGGCTATAGGGGGTTTGTGCTTCCTCATATCATCCATATAGGCTCCAAGCATACGTTTGAGGAATGCTGATCTCCACCTGCTGGCATTTAAAAAGTCATTACATAGAGAGAAACTGTTAAGAACATTCCAAGCGTGAGCATGTCTCCTTAATAAAGTCAGGTGATTTAAAGTAATAAGGGTAAATCTGGGCAGAAATTCACACATCATCTGGTTTAGAAAGGGTGGCCATATTTTCAAACCATCAAACAGAGGCACAGCAATTTTACAACAAACCCTCATTACGGATGGAATTGGCACAAAAAGCAAGAAAATCCTGTGTCATAAATTATTGTGATAAAGAAAAATAACTCCCTTTAACCACTTTAAATGTGGATTCAGCACCTGTTCACGTCATAATAACTTTACAAACGTCTGTTCAGCACAACAGAATTTGTATTGCTGCAGGCTCCAGAGAAGTGGTCTTTGTTTATTTGTTCCCATTAGTGTAATACTCTGGGCTGAAACAGCTGAACATATACATAGAAATCAGCATTGAACTTTTTCTCATGGTGCATTAGCAGGATTTTTCTAAGGTGTTGCAAGGGTTTCTCCTTAGAACACGAAATGTGATTTTTAATTTTTAATATTAACATTAACAGTTTCTATCATTGTCTGAAAACATCAGGTCCAAAATCAACCCTATTCAGGGCTCGACAGTGTGACTGTTTCACTCACATTCGCGACTAAAAATAGATGTGTGCGAATTGTAAAATGTATTTAGAGGCAAATGTGCGCATAAAAAAAATCAGCAGAGGCAACTTTTTTTTTTCATGTAAACACTGTGGCAAAGTTAGTTTTAGGTTGGATATTTGACGGACATTCACGGCTTATCTACTGGTGTCTTCTCACTCTCCATAACCAGAGATAGCAACAGCAGCGCGGTTAAATCTACTCGGCATCCTCGCTGTCAATGTTGGGTGTTGAACCATCAATAAATTACCAGTTAATGTTCTCAGAAAAGGCTGTTTTCTTTCAAAAGCTTCCATGTCATGTGACCAATTGACGTCAAATTGATTTTAAATAATAGTACTAAGGTCGAACAATAGGAAAAACTTCTTTATTTCCTCCTCTAAAAAATTTTGTGTTAAATTTAAAGGCCAATTTTGAACATTTTCTTCATTAGCTTCCATTACATGTGACCAATTGACCTGAAATTGATTTCAAATAATAGTACTTATGCCGACCAATAAGACACACATTATTTGATCAATGTTTATTGGTGTCAAGCCCTGCTAATTTTTGTACTGATTTGTTTATTTATTTTAAATGTATTGAACCCGGGAAAAAAAAAATGAGTGCCCTGTAGTGTGTGAGTGTGTTTTAGTTTCAGACACAGATTGTAGAGACTCCTTCATCTCAGCCTCTATAGTACTTAATCTACCCATTCAAGTTGAACCTTAAAGGAAAAAACAAGATCTGTCGTTTAATTCTTAGAATTCATGAGCCAACTTGGTCCCATCATGACAATCACAGAAACCTAATGCTTTGTCTGCACTGCTCACGTCTGTTGCTGCTTGCTGTTCATTTAGACATCCATGGAAGCAAGTCATTGAAGCCACACTGCTGCATAGTGGTGCAACGGATCACAAAACTCACGGATCGGATCGTTCCTCGGATCAAGAGTCACGGATCGGATCATTTTTCGGATCAGCAAAAAGAAAAAAAAACAAGACAAATAAAATATATAAAAGTAGTGCACAGGGCATAATATCTTCTTTTTAACATAATTATTAATGAAAAACAACTTAAAGTACAATATACAGGCATATCTCCTTCCTTTAAAATGTAACAATGAACCAAAGATAAAGTGTGTGCGCGATGGGATGTCGTAACGTGGCTCAAGCACTTTCAGCATGTTTTTAAAGCCCTCGTTTTGCACAACTGAATACGGCCTCATGTCTGCAGCTATAAACACACCGATAGAGTTTGTGAAGGCTTTAGCCTGGTCGGATTGCGCAGGAAGAGGCTGCTTAAATGCTGCGGTGATGAGCGGTTGTTAGGGCTTTCGTTTTATCTCAGGTGTTATGCCAAAGAATGCACCCCTGCCGTATAGTGCACCCCCTAACGGGAGCGCGGTTGAAAGTACATAACAAGGCGAAATAATACAAGTTTTCCTTACGTTGGATGTATTCAACAGCGTTTGCCTTTAATAATTTCATTCAGGCTATTCATATCAAATATGAGATCATTATCTCCACTTTAAGAAGCTAACGGATGCAGGGGGTGCGTTCTACGGCAGGGGTGCAATCTACGGCACAACACCTGTCAGTAAAACACCCGGGTGATGTCGCTTCAAATGCGTGAACATGCTCGATGTGTTTCCACTGTCATATGGCTTTCTTATGCCACAGTGCCTACACTCCGTCGCAGTTTTGTACACTGACCTCTTTCCTTCTTCATCATAATTGACAGGGAAGCCAAAATGCTCCCATACAGGGGATTTAAGTGTCGCGGGGCGTTCGAGCTCCTCCTTTCTCCGCTTTCAGAAATCGATCCGCGGATCACATGTGTGCCGAACCGAATACGTCGATCCGAACGGATCACGGATCAATGATGATCCGTTGCACCACTACTGCTGCAATGCTGCAAATATGAACAGAAGTCACATTATTTTTCCTGCAAGCAACGCTTGATGTTAGGAAAAATACTCTGTGAATGGTTTTTTCAAACAACCATATTGACATTATACCAGTATTTATCTTCCTGTAATATAGTTTTGAAGCCATTATCAGAAGAATGTATCCCAAACACGCTTGTCTTTAGCTCAAAATTAATCGTGTTTCAGATATTTGTCCAATTTGAAATTAAAAATATAGTGAGACAAGATGGTTAGCTAGATCTTTTTATGGATGATATAAAAGGCAAACTAAATTCACAGATGCAGCGCTGGAAGCAGTTGACTCGCTGCTGGTGTGGAAAAAAGAGGTGGGACAAGCAGCAGTAGTTTAGTGAGGCAACCATCATATTCAGCCCAGGCGTGCAGTGTCCCAGGGGAAACAGTACGTAATGGTCGCCTTTAAAGATGGATACCATGGAGGTCTGGAGTTCTGGGGGGAACTCTCCTGTGGCCAATTTCTGCGAGGGAGTCACCAGAACTGTTTGATCTAAAAACACCTGCTATCATATTTTTATCTTTCAAAGTCCACATGAGTGAAAAAAGAGGTGGACTGTTCCAGAGAAGAGATGAAATACACATGAGAGGAACATTGGGGACTGTGATTATTTAGCAGAGAGACATTTATGTGTTGTATTGACGGAAAAAAAAAGAAGGCCCCTTTCTCACATAAACCCACCTCTTAGAATGCACCATAAACACATTTACGAACCCTTATAAAGGCCTTTATAAGGCCTTTGTAAGTGATAAGAAGCATACATAACAACTTAAAGTGATGTTTATGAAGCATTATAAGGGTCTTATAAGATAAATTCAAGTTATGTGTTTATATATGATTAAACAAAGTCACACTGTGGTAGTAAAATAAGCTGCTCAGAGTTTGAAAGTCTCGACCTGCCACTGGTGAAGTCACGTTATTCAGCATGATCCTGTTCTCTCACAGCCAACACTTTCCGAGCCGACAGTTCTCTTTCCACAACATCCATCTGCAGCGCCAGAGGAGACAAAATAGGGCCAGAATACAGAGTAGAAGAGGTAAGGTAATAAAAAAACTGGAAAACACTGATAAGACACATCTGTGGGATTAAATGAGACTCTCTTTGGCTGCTAAATGAGCCCCTTCACCTCCATTAGTGGGGTTCACCAAAACACTCCTGAGTGGGCTGGGAAGTGCCACTCCTGAGAGCCTGTGAGGTTGTTAAACTCAGACACACCAACTCAGACAGGTTCCCTCCTTCAAGATTTACACAAAAGCCATAGTTTTAAGTTTTTTTTTTTTTCCAAGTGACAAATGCAATTATTACTGCTGTTAAAGCCTGTAGTGGAGAAAGTGACTGATCATGCAGCTCTTTCATGTGAACACTGGTGGATTGATAAACCCCGGGTTTAACATGGGATTACCAGCTCACAGGATAGTCAATGTTAGAATTAACGAGTCTAACAGTATTTCTAACACTTACTATTCTGTGATAGAATTTATGTTGGATGATTTAACGAGTCTTTTATAATTGGGTTCGCCTTAGATAAAGGAATAGTTCAACATTTTGGGAAATTAACGTAATTTGTTATATTACCTGGAATTAGAGAAGATTGACACCTTTGTTGTGTACATGTGAAACATAATACGGTTTCTTCAACAGCTAGTTAGCCAAGCTTCACTCCACGCTCAGCTAACTGGAGGGTAGGGGGGATAAGCTTATGTGAAGTCTTACAGAGAAACGCCACCATTAACTTTTTTCTCAAATTTGTTTAATTTGTATTAAAAAGTTCAATAAGTAATCCTCTCCTGGGGTTTATGGAGCTGATGTTGAGGAAAACTTCTTAGCTTTTTGTGATGGCATAAAGTTAACTCTGCATCACTGCGTTCCAAGTGAACTAGCTGACTAGCTATTCTCATATTTGTAGGCTACATATCTGTACAATGAAACAGACTCTTTTTTTGTTATTTTTATATTTACTCTTATGACTTGGATGTGGTTGAAATTTAACTTATCAAAAAAGCTTGAAAAGATTGATTTTGTTTCAGTATCAAATGTTGTTTTCACACTTAAAAACTCTTTTATTTCTGCTCAATCAACAACGCCCCTCCCCCCAAATGTGCCAGAAAAGGAAGTCTTTTAGGACAAGAAAGAGAGAAATTAGTATGCCACACAACTTATATTTTTTATAGAGCACCACCAGGAAAGTGCTGTAGTAAGGAAGACGAATCTGAGTCACACTAAAGGAATTTAAACCAATGCTGAGATGGTCATTTTTCTCCAAGACGGGGGAAGATATTTAATGTGACACCTCTTATCTTTTGATCCATTGCTGGGGGGGAGAAACTACCCAATCCCTTCTTTGAAAAAACTTTTCCTGTTGGGGTTTCTGTGTATTGTGTTGTTGTGGCCTTTATCACTAAGCAGGAACACGTTATGTTGTAGTGGAAAATCAGCATAAACTCAGTAAAACAGTGCACAGGAGACAGGATGAGATCTGAAGAACAGCCTGGGCGTCTTTATTGTACAGATGTAGAAATCAGTACAGATGACAACAGAGTCTTGACCAAAGCTTTTCTTCTACTCCCTAAAAGGTGGATGAGGTGTAGCAGCTCATACCTGAATGAGCTCTGGTGATGTTGGCTGCTGGTTGCCATTTGCCTAATATTCTGTTCTTGAGTTGAGCAGTTTATTTTCCATATACTCATGTTTAATTGCTGCCAGCAAACTTGAAGACCAAGCATGTTAGTTTTGTTCAAAGTGGAAGTTTTCTTGACTCTTGCATCTTCTACTAATGGCAGTATAAAATGCATTTAATGTATTCTGCACTTTCCCTGCACTGGGGATACTAAATTAAATAACCAAAGTCAGTTAGTGAGCTTTAATGGCAATGGTCTTAAAACTTGAGTTTTGCAATTTATATTTAATCTTTGACTTGCAAGCATGTTTTGTAAGCTCTTGGGCCTATGGTAAGTCAAAAATACAATCTGCAAAGCTGCAAGTGGAAGGGAAAGCCTCTTGTGTTGACCCCTACTGGCTTGGAGTGGTGGTGCAGGTACTAACTCCAGTGGAGAAAAACAAAACATGGTGGTTGCAACACTTAGCGATTGTAATTTCCTTTATGCTCTGGCTTAACTAATTAATGACAATTAGAAGAATCAATATCAAAATTGACATTATTAAATGATCCACTTGCTCTAAAGAGAAGCACCTTTATTATCATGACTTCATTATGCTGCAGCTCACTGTTGCAAACTTGAGCTTACTTGTGCTTCTTTTTCAAGCACTTGAGTGAAAAAGGTCTTACCCTTTAATCTGAGTCTTTTCTGCAATTGCATTTCTCAATTTTCCACAGATAACTGGATGTTCTTCTATCTAAGTGCAGAAGAAATTCATAAGCAGAGTTATATTTATTTGAAACACATATCAAGTCCATTTCCTGTGAGGCACAGCTTCAAAAGAGAGTGATTTAAATTCAGTCCAATCTGACAAAACTTGACTTGGAATTCTAATGGACTTGCAGGCTTGGATGTAATTATAAGTCTGCCTTGAGTTTATTTTGTACTTCCTCTCTTATCCCTTATATTGAGATTAGCACACCAATCTTCAAGTAAAAAAAGTTTACTTTTACTACAGCATAAACCACTTTACCTCCGAACTTTGAAACCCCCCTTCAAATATATTCCAATCAGGGTCCTGCTCACTGACAGCATCAATAATGGCCAACATAATAGATGCGATGAAGTCATGTTGGCTACTTGACAGGCAGCACTGATTACAGTAATGATTGATGTTAAAGGTCCTCATGCTCTTTAAGGCTTCTACTCTGTTTCGTAAAGCATCAAGATAAGGGTGAACTTTTGAATGGCTTTGAAAGAGTTAACATGCTAAATCAGCTTTTGCATTATAACACAGGTTTATAAGATTCTCAGGCAGCTTTTGGTTCAGGTACAAGCAGTTTAGGTACATGCTAAGTCCGACTAATACACATAATAACTTTATGTTTCAGGTCGTTCAGAGTTTGAGCTATGGATTTTTTTCAGTTTAACACACAGTTCCAGGTACCCAACGGTGTAAACTGAGAGTTGGAGACGTAGTGAAAGCTGTTCGTGCAGAATATATTTGTAATTTTAAATTCAGAGCTAGCTAACAAGGTCACTGTTTAACTGTCTGATCTCTGCCGGTTATCTTAATTTAGCATGTTTGTACTCTCATGTATCAGTGATTTAGCTAAGTCTAATATTGGTCTCCCAGTTGATAGTTGGGGTATAAATTCAACGTGCATTACAAACATCTCCTTTAAAACTGCTGCAGCATTTCTCCTTCCCTGCACAGAGCGCTTGGTGGCTGACATTGCATCACCTTCTTTGTCTTCTTTCACCTCCACCTCTGTAAACTTCGAAGTGACTTAGAAAATCCCTTTGTAAAGTCTACATCCTCGCATTAACTGCTCTATATACAATAACACAGCAGAAAGGTGACTCTTTGCCACTAGTGCGTGGAATTGTGAGATGATATGGAGGAGCTAAATTTATCAGCATAACAAATGACCAACAATCCTGCAGACTCCACTTTTAAAATCAATCATTAGTCACTAAAAACCCAGGTTTTAATGACTCTAATGTGTAGTTAGTATCAAGGTTTCACTGCATAATATGCCAGGGACAGCAAAGAGCCTGCTGTGAGAGTTTTTCTTCCCTCCTGCTTTTCTTTTTCTCTCTCTCCCTCCCTCTGTTCGCTCTCCAGGTGTTATCATCATGTTCAGTTTCTACCTGTGCGGTACAGTCTCGCTGCTGCTCATGGGCTCCTTCAGACCTAATGCCAGCTAATCATTCCAGTTTCTCATTAAAGTAGTGCACGGTTGGAGTAAATCTAGAATTTTCTCTACTCTGTTAAAGCAAAAATAGAAAAATAAAAAGATGCTTTGTGGTTTGTTACTTGAAGTGGCACCAGCTGTCTGAAAAAGCTCCGGGGATTACCTTCATTTCTGGACAACAAAACGAGTCGCAGTCGCTGTTTTGTGCAGACACCAAAACAACATGTGACATATTAAATAATAATAATGAAAATAATAATTGGAAATTTTAACACAGGGCTTGTCTGAAACTTCAAGTGGTATGCAACGAAATGAGGAGGCATCATTCAGTCAAACCATAATGTCTGACCCAGCACAGAGTAGTTTTACTGCTGCTCAGGTGTAAGCAGCCATAATTCAGTGCTGTTGTTGAAATGTATGAGAGAAATTTATTGAGAGAAATGTGGAAAATTGCCCACAGCTTAACAGGAAAATCCCACAATGACCTGACTCACAAAAAGACAATATAAAAACAAGATATTAAAAGAGTGTTTAGAATCACTGCTGTCCACAACGCCTTTGAATGAATGATAAATTTCTGATGCTGGTGCTTCTCAATAAATTAGGATATCATCAAAAAGTTGATTTATAGCAGAGGTTAAAGGTGGGGTAGGGGCCCGTTATTCCGCCAGAGTCTCAGGTATTTACTTCGTTTTCTTGCTTGTGTTGGCAGTCCTGGCCAAAGGAGGATTCAGACAATTTTTTGTACTTTCTGGTTGGTTTCTACTGTCTGTTATTATAGCACACTAACTTTGTTTAGGCTCCTGCACGTCATTCGAGGACGTGGAGCATGCCTCATAACATGAGAGAGCAGCGTCCGCCTCACAACCAATCAGGTTGGGGGAGGCGGAGAACGGCTTTGTTTACAGTCAGAAAGAGCGGGGCACTCAAAAACTTTAAAATGTTGACTACACAGACACAAGAGAACACAGCGATATTGTTATATTCCCAAATGTCATCAATAACTAATAGCTATTGACTGATATTAAAAGCTTTTTTGTCTATACACCACAAAAAAAACCCCATGCTTTTTTCAATGAAATTCTGCTTACCCCACCTTTAAGTTAAAAAAAGTGAAACGCATTTATTATCTAGATTTATCACACACAGACCGATATATTTCAAGTGTTTATTTTTTTCATTTCAATGACTAAATTGCAGCTAATGAAAAAACAAAACATATATGTATAAGATTCATTTTTTCACAAAGATTCACAAAATTTCTATCTGCATAATATTGCCATCCATGATTGATATTGGTATCACCCTCTTTATCAGTATCAGCCAAATTGAGTTCGAAGATATTGACAAATTGGACATCTGCAAAATTCGCGTATTACGCACAAGCCATTGTTACGGCCACTGCCAAGTCTACTGCCATTCAGTGGGACAAGGTATAAATCAAATGTTAAATTTATACACCTGCGCCATAAAAACTTTTCACTGTTGGTTCAGATCAGAGGAAACCAAACATCCCGTCTACCTCATCCCCCTCCAAATGATCCCCTCCTGGGTGATAGATGTTGTTTGTGATTTTTTTCTCTAAATCCAGGCCCGTTAGATACTTCAGAGCACTGCACTTTAATCAGTGGTTTCTTTACTCAGACACTATAAAATTCACTTATTTGTTAAATATTTAGATTTCGATATTTAATTAAGAGAGAAATCTCAGGTTATAAATTGACAAACCAATCATGGGAGCTGCTTAATCCCAGGCTATGTGGACTGTGGTGAGAAAGGGAGGTAAACAGCCATCCCCTAATGTCACATTCTGACATTTCCCCTCCCTATGACCACTTTGTGGCTCCATAACATCAAACTATTGCCTCTTCTGCTCCCCTTTTCCCTTTAGACCACAGTCATAATTACAGCTAAAGTCTGTCTACACAGTCTTTACATACACTATAGACTCCTATGGAAAAACACATCTTGTACATGTAAAGTAAGACAGATACAAACTCTTACACAACAGCAGAGTTGCTCTTTGGAGAGGAGACACAGAGTTCAAGGTTGGGACGATTGCTCCTTACAGAGTTGGCTTCTGGAGACTTAAAGGAAATCAAGAGGATGTAATCTATAAATATAAATGAGGTGACATTGAGATAGCATTCAGATATATATCTCAGAGCTTTGTGGACATAGAATCTAAAGAGTGTTATCTAATGAGCACACATTTCAATAAACCCAATTACCCAAGAACAGTTTCATCTCTCTTGTGTTTCACACTCGTGCATGCACAAACACACCAGCCAAGTCTATGAAAAAGCTTCTCAAACCACGCTGTTCTCAGCCAATATGTCACTTTTACATTCAATACTTGACGTCTTACATCTGCACAGACGCTCTGTTTTCCCCCGTCAAATAAACACACATCTCTCTCGTAAAGAAAAACACACTTCATAAACCTTCATTTCAGAGGAGGAAAGTTGTTGTTTGCAGTTTTGATTCAATAACATTTTAAAACTTTGGTGCACTGAGGCTTTTCTTATATGATTTGATCCTCTGCGAATAAAACTGGTTCAGACAGATTCCTTTCAAAATCATTAGCTGCACATAAAGTTGGATGGTAACTGATGTTGTACAAAAGTGATGCGAAATTACAAGAAGACTGTTGTATGTTAATGGAGCCAGAGTCTGTGGGAATCAGCAAATGGAGGTGCAGTGTTGAGTAAATTAAACAAATAAAAGTAAAATTCATGTAATTTTTTAGCTATTGCAAGCATTTTGTTGAGTATTTCAATGTTATACCTTTTGTTCTGATTTTTTTTTAGAAAGTATGACTTTACTGTGTTTTATCTGAATAAATTAGACCTGGAAACATGCTAGAACATGCTTGAAAAAAAGGTGTTTTAAAACAAACACGTGCCCTAGTTCTCCTATTTGTTGAGGCATTGTAACAGAAAAGACGCCTCTCAACCAGCTTCGGTCTGATCAGACAGGACATGGATGTTCTCTTTCTACGGCCTGTCGGCTCATCACCTGTGAAACACTGTACATGCTTTGGTCAGACTCCTCTCTTTATTCCCTGAGCTTTTCTTGTATGATGTACTCTGGAGGCCGAGCACTGATTTCTGTTGGCTGAGTCAAGCTGTGTTTTTCCTGCAGAAAATACTACAAAAGACTGCTGGGAGGTTTGGGGGATTGTTGTGGTTGATATGAAAGGCGTGGAGCACAAAAGTCAAGAAACCTACTTCATTATTCATTTATGGTTTCCTGCTGCTCTTGATTTGGATGGATAGTTTTCAAAGACTCAGCTTGGTACCTTGTGATTTAATCTGATTTAGATTCTTGTAAGGGTTATAACTGTTGCTGTTTGATACAAGTAGTTATTTCTGAAAGTGTTGCCCCTCAAAAAGACTTATTTTTCTCCAATTAATTTAAAGAGTTGAGATAAAAAGCCATCATTTTCTTATTAAGATGTCAAATAACTCAAATGTCCAACTTTTAGACATCTACTGCCTTGTTATAGACACTCTCTCTCCCATTACAGTGCACACTCAGGACACATAATGAAGCTGTGACATTCAGTTTTAAACATCAAATATGTTTTGTTGTTAGGAGCAGACAGTCTTAAAATGTGGCAGCATAATGTCAGCCCCTTCCCCAGCCACCCCTGCCCCTTGTGTGGCAGTGAAGCACCATGTTTGAGGAGCTGACATTTCATGGTCCAGTAGCATTATTGCGATCGAAAAACAAAACAGCCTTGACTTTTTGTGAGGGAAGCAAAGCCGCAGAGAGATGTTGGCACGGAGAGAGAAAAAGAGAGCGAGAGAGAGAGGAGAATGCTGTCTTAAATTTTAAACAGCCCATCAAAAAGTGAAAATTTGAGAGGAGATGAATGTGGATGGATAAGTAATGATACCCTTTTTGAAATGGAGTTCCAGTATTTATCACCACAACATCTAAGCAATTATTAAACAGTCCTTCCTTTTGAGCAATATACTGCTTTTTTCACTGATATAATTTAATTGCTAACCTTTACATTTTGAATGGTGACATTTAATGCAGCAAAGATACAATTTTGGTCACATTTTCAAGCTTGGCTTTTCAGAAACACTTTCTGCAGCTGGCAGTTTTTACAAGTAGTGGTACGGCGCTAACACCCTTTAATTAATTTAATGACAGACTGATGCTTAAAAGTGAATTTGATGACTTTGAAGTGAGCCTGAATGAGAGAATCAGAGAGAAGGAGAGGGAGGAGCTCATGGCATCTTAAACTGCAATTTCAAGTTAGCGTCTCTGTTACGAGTTTGAGTATATCAAGAGTTTTCTTAGAGATAACAGTTGAAAAAGTCTCAACTAAACAGTGTTTGATGGATTTAGAATTTGAGTGACTGGCATACAGGCAAGATACAAATAAAAGGTGGTCAGTGTAGCTGATAGTAAACTTAGAGGAGACCTGTTACGTCAGAAAGTGTTTGAATACATATCTAAACAGTAATGATAATATGTTGAATGTCTACGTAAAACTTGGTCAAGATTCCCAACGTGATTAATGCAGATGTTGGTGTTATCCTTAGATGTGTTACAAAGGTTCATTATGATGACTACATAAGAATTGGCCTGAATCTAGTGTCAAGCTCTGCTCTCCTTACATGACAACACTGTAGGACGTTCCTGCTCTACTTTCAGCTCCAATAGAGCTCTTTCAAGGACCTGTGAGTAGAGCTGGGTGATTAATCTTGTTTCGATTATGTTTCCGTCTGATCAGAAAAATATGACAAGACCGTGCCACCTGCTATATGTCTTGCTCATTTTATCCTTTGTGGTAGCACACCCTCCCTTTCCTCCTCCACAAAGCTGTGTAAAAAGTAACACCTATGAGCCTTCCACCAGTATACAGATTTGAAGCTGAAATGCTCTCGGTATTTCCATGATTTTTCTCTGTTTTCTGAAACCCACATTGCACAGTGGTGTTGTACACACTTCACCACTTGTGCAGTAGGCAGGAGAGTTGCCGAAAGTCACTGTGATGACGCTCGGCTCACGCAATCTTCGCACACCCATCGGTTGTAACAAGTGTCAATCATAGAAAACATGAACCCCCTAATAATTTTTAAAAACAGAGCTGCACACAAAAAAGCACAAACCAGTCTTACAATAACTACATGTCAACATCGCAAGCAGGGGGGAGAAAAGTTTATATTCTGTGTAATAAATTTCTAAAGTTTGTCCACATCTCCATGAGCTTTGCTGGAGGAGGCAGGATTTATGACCTACACTGCAGCCCGTCAGCAGAGGGTGCTGTTCTCTGGGTGGCTTCATCCAGCAAGGACGCAGACGGCGTCCATTCTATATACAGTCTATGGCTGTTATTAACTCTTTTATCACTGTATATGCAGCAAAAATGTAGATTTTCAGGCAGAGGCTGGAGAGTGTTTAAGTTAGAGCTTCCATAAATGCCACTGTAAGACTAATACGGAGGCATCAAGGGTTGGTGTAGAAGAAAGCAGCTAACCTCTCTCTGTTTTGGAGTTGCAGCTCAGGTAACTTTATGTGGCTTCTTTTCTCACTTCTTTTTTTGACTGTTTCCAGTCATGATGCAAAGCTGAGCTAAACAAACACTTCTCCAGGGCCTCACATTTACCAGCCACTTTAGAGTTGAATGAATCTTCTTATCAAACTCCTTGCCAGAAAGGGTTTATTTTCCCCGTTTATTAAACTATTTCCCCAGTTGGGAGGAGCAGAACTCACAAAACTGTGATGCCATTTTTAAAAAAGAAAATAGTTGGGAGGGGAAAAAAAAAAAGGAAAACTCATCAGACCGCATTCATCCTGGGAAGCAGTCTGCTCAGCGCTCTGCCTCTGTGGTGGTGGCAACGTTATACGACCCTGGCAAAGAAGTGGGTGGCCCAGCACAGCGGCAGATGTGGAGTGTTTGATTTAGTCGAGGCAGATCAGAGTATCAACAGCAGCACAGGGAGGTGTGGAAAGTGCAATAAATGAACGTGCCGGAGTCCAGCCTCTCATCAGCAGCTCTTTGTCTCAGGAACCCCCTTTTTGTTTCCACTCTGTCAGCTGCTTGAATTACATTAACAGTGATGTATTACTAATTTCCAACGTGTTTTTGCCATCAAGACATTATGTTTTTAGTCTGGGTGAGTTTAAATTAAACAGAGTCTCTGTTTATTCCTATGGATTCATTCAGAGAGGAGAGGGATGCTGGGAATCTATCTTTCCAGCCAACTGAGCTAAGCCATTGGGAGACAGTGGGGTTGGCTGCTCCCACTTCCTCTTGGTAATGGAAAAACCACCACAGAGAGTCAAGATAAAGAAAAGGGAGCAGACTACACACACTGTATCTCAATTCCTGCTGGATTCAGGCCCCCGTGAGCACGAGGCACATCTTTGCTCCATGCATATCTTTTTAATTTTCAGACCGTATTAATTGAATTTACAATACTTTTGAAAGCGTGTCGGCTATTTTAAAGCTCATTTGATCTTCCAGCAAATTCTCATTAGCTGCTTGCTCTCACTGCTACTTGTCTTCAAAGTAAACTGATTGAAACATCTTAATGCCGGTGCACTTTCTTCCCCTTGAATGAGAAAGAGGAAGGCTTCAATCTTCCACACACTGTCGGGAGAAAGAGGGAAGGAAACAGATTCCTCAGGGGGTTCAATGCATTATTACAGTCAATATATTGATGTACGTTTGAGAGTGATCCAAGGGTAAAATCCCCTTAGAGACAAAGGTAAGAAGAGAAGGAGCGATGAGGATGTTTGTATTCATTCGTCCTCTCCTTGGTGTGCACTTTCTCTCACCCGCTCATGAATAACGGATGCTCGCGCAGCCTAAACTGACCTCTCAGCTATTACGTCAAATGATGGATTTGTTTGAAAACCACTTGACCTTGTCTGTACCATCATCATTTTGCTGTGTCAATGACACTATGGCAAGGTTGCCAAGTCACAGCCTGGCACCGACAGCTGAATCGCCTTGCAGAATTGCCGACATGGATAATCTGGCTTTACAGACTGTTAGTCCTGCAGGTCAAGCAGATATTCGATCATAACCTTTCTGTCTCATTTGTTTACTCCCTGCCAAATGTCACACTTTGTTTACGATAATTTAACTGAAGATGTATTCATTAAACCTCAAATGTCTCTTTCCAGATCTTTGTTAGTACCTAATTAACTAAAATCCAATGGCAGCTAATTCAAATAAAGAGGATGCAATCTTCTTTATTCATTGTCAACAGACTTTTACCCAATGCTAAAACGTGTAGCTAATTAAATCTCTAATGCTCATGTAGCTACGTGCACAGAAAGCATCAATAGTTCCTCTGCACAATGGCTAATTTGTATGGTGGTCCTGTTTTATTCAAACACATGTGAAAACACCTGCCAGGGCAGCAGAATGTAAAACCATGAGAATGTTACTGATGGAAATCTCCCGTGAAGGGATGGAGGCGAGATACGATCTCAACACCTACCCTTGAAAAATAGAAATTGAAGACTTGTGGTGTAAATTTGACATCGAGATTGACCTTAACTGTTCAGTTTCACACTCAGCGTTGGGCTCTAATGAGGCTCTACTGGCTTAGACACATCATCTCTGTGCACTGAAATTTAAATGTACGTGCTGGGACTGAATAAATAAAGCTTTTGCAATCTTCTGGGCTTTCAAAGTCTGATGTATCTATGAAAGTTTGTAAGTTTTTAAGGATGCAGGCAGTTCTCTAAACAGCTATTATGATGAGAGGGCTTTTGCCATGCTAATTGGAGTTGGAGCACTGTGTAAAATGTTGATAAATCAGAACTTAATGGTTTGCAAATGATAATTAAAATAGTCTAAAGACCACACATTGTATGTTGAACTCAAAAATGCGTGATTTAATGAAAAATGGTTGCTCATTCGATGTTTGATGCCGGCAGTGGGTTTCAGAACAGTTTGGACAGTTGGACAGTTTTGTCATATGATTGGGTATAGAAACTGTTCTCCAGAGAGTCTCTGAGAGGTTAAGATAGGAAAAAAGGTCACCAATTTACAGTATGAGGGGAAATAGATAAATGTTCTTGAGAACAAAATGACTCAAATTTGAGGATTTCATCAGCAGCAAGCGATCTCACTAAAAGATCCAAGACAGTCTGGCTGTAGACCTCTACTGAGAGGACCCGAAGTGACTTTTTCTTGCACGCTCCTTGTTTAAAGTGGTCATCCCGTTTTGTATTTTGT